ATGAATGTTTCTGTTCAATTATTATTTTATACATGAATGTTTCTGTTCAATTATTATTTTATACATGAATGTTTCTGGTTCTTGACGTGACTTCTGTTGTGACTTGTTGCTTTAGAAATAAACTGAAGAGAATTGTCTGTGGTTGAGCTCGTGTGTGTCCAGTACTAAAATATCTCCTGAACTGTTGGACGAGTTCTAATGAAACTTGTAGAAAGTCAGAAAATAACATTTGGACTCTGTGTAAACAAGTGAAACACCGATGTGCTGACGGATTTCAACAGCGAGTGTTTGTAGGTTTGGACACGAGTGATTTTCTGGACTGGATTTGAATGCGAGTAAACGTGAATGTTTTTAGTTCAGTATGTTCAAGTGGGCATAATTTAGATGAACACAAGTATCTTTATCTTTTACCTGTTGCCAAATTCAAAATTACTCTTTAATTGCAAAATCTTATTTGAAACATTTGATGTTTCTCATCTTCAGTAGGGCATAAAATGTTTGAGATTTGCAAATCATTTTACTTTTACTTGGATTTTGCACAATGTCCAAACTGTTTCAGAATCGGTGACGTAGATCTACAGCTGACGAACTTTTAGTCAACTCACTTCAAGATGGCTGCCACAGCTAACCTCAACTCACACAGACGACTACGACTTAGTCACTTTTTCACAGTTTGATCCAAAATCTCCTGTGCTGAGTTGATCCCAGTACTTGGTTCATAAAATCTGTGCTGTAAAACTTTTCCATCAACTTCTAGGAGTCGAAGCTCTGTCATCAAAACATCTCATCCACTGCAAGGATGGGCCTTTGTCCGTCTGTCCGTCCATCCGTCCATTTTTACCTGCTTCTTCCTTTTTGAGTCACTTGTGCCCTTGTCCATTAGTTGCTGTGCGGAAGGCAGGGGACATGTGGACAGGTCTCAGTCCGTCACAGGGACACATGGAGACAAACAACCATTCACTCTCTCCTAGGGACAGTTTAGTTACCAGTCAGTCTAACATGCATGTTTTTGATTTGTGGGAGGAAACTCACGCAGCATGGAGAGAACATGCAAACTGCACTCAGAAATGTCCCCTGCTGGGATTTGAACTGGTGACCTGCTTGCTGAGAGGCAGCAGCTCTACCAACTGAGCCACCGTGCTGCATCGGCCTTTCGATTGAACATGTCAGATGTTGCACACAGAGCAGAGTCTTGATGCAAATCTAAAATATTGAAGTGAGCAGCTGCACACGGACTCGTTGGTCTGAGGGCGTGCTGCCTGATGAAACTCAACATCCACGTCCTCGTGTCGGCTCCAATCATTTACATTTTCTCCGCCTCTTACAGACACTGTGATCCCAGAGCTCTCGATCTGCTCAATCAGAAAAACATTTATAGAAAAAAAAAGAAGTCTTTTTCATGTTTTCTTTGTTGTGACGCCTCGGGTTTGTCATGTCCAGGAAGAGGCCTCATGGTCCATCATGCTGAAGCGTCTGGACAGGATCCGGTTCCGGGGCCAGAGGCGGGACGAGTTCCTGGATCTGTACGAGTCGCCCAGTACGTCGGACACAGAGTGCAGCGAGGATGCTGTGATCAAACCTCACATCTCCATCAAAGATCAGGAGGAGCTGAGGGACGATGGAGAGCAGCAGAGTGACGTCCAGGTGCAGAACTGACCCAGACTGGACCAGGTGTTGGTGGTTCTGAGGACGTTCGGTCCTGTTCCTTATGTTCTGTTCTGTTTGTGTATCTAAGGCTGGTCCAGGACCTTTTTCGGCTACTCTCCAAGATGAGCCAAAGACGGACTTAAATGAGGTCAAAGGTCTCTTAGAAGTTGCGTTGTTGGAGAAACACTTCCTGCGTGAGTATGATGATGTCATCGGGAACTGCAGCGACTCTTGATTCACAAGTTAAATGACACTTGATGTTTTTAAAGACAGCTGTTGCATAAACGTTCCCATTAAGAATGAACCTTCTGAAGCTGCTCATTAGACGGGGCGTTGGCACAGCGTCCTCAGCCCTCAGATCCTTGTCAGGGTGGACCTGCCCCACAGCATGCTGGGTAATCTGTCAATATTTGCCTTTTTACACAACTCCCCCGCAGAGCTACAATGAACCCTGCAGTCCTCTGACACATGACCGAGGGAATCCTCATTTCATTTTAGTCAAAGAATTTACAGATGTTTTGGGATTTAAATCCCATTTTAATCCGCGATGTTGCGCCTCCTCTCTGTTCTGCTGGGAATCCTTTTTTATTCACCACAAATGTTTTCCATATGTCTGTAAACTCTTTGCTCCACCCATGACTTCTGATCCACTCAAGGTCATTTGATGGAACTTCATCCACACATGAACGGCCTAAAACATGCGATCGTTGTACACGATGCTTGATTTGGACGGGGTGCTCCGTTTGCACGTGTTAAAACCTTCTGAGACTCCAACAGGAGGTTGGATTGAAACACAGCAGTGAAGGCTACTTATGGGACAGATCTGCTTGGCAGGCCAAAGAGACACCTGGACAGGTCTCCAGTCCGAGGGACACCTGGACAGGTCTGACGAAGTCCTCTGGATGGAAGACGAAACGTTTCTTCCTTAAAGAAACTGGTCCAGATGACATGATGTAACCTTTTTGTTGTCATCTACCTGGATGATTGAGCTTACAACCTTTTTTCATTCACATATCACTAGACTGAGTGCTGCTTACACGTTTCATCACCCCAGCGCAAAGATCAAGGTCACAAATCAAGGTCAAAGTTAAACAAGGTCTTTGCCTGTCTGGGCCATTGCCATACACTGTCTGGGCAAATAAAAAAGTCGCCACCCCAAAAAAAAAAGGTCACACTAATACCTTGGTTTTGGTTGGACCTCCTTTATCTTTGATCACATCATTCTCTGTGTCATTGTTTCAATAAACTTCTTCAACGTCACAAGATCTGTTTCATCCAGTGTTGCTTTAATGTTTCACCAACATCTTTCATTGATGACGAGCCACTGGTCATGATGGTGCATCGCTTCTCCTGCCTCTCTTCTGACCCTGATGCTCCATCACTCTGGAACAGGGTCAGTCTGGACTCATCAGACCACATGACCTTCCATTGCTCCAGAGTCCAATCTTTATGCTCCCAAGCAAACTGAAGCCTTTTTTTCCAGTTAGCCTCACTGGTTAATGGTTTTCTTAAGGCTACCCAGCTGTTCAGTCCAGCCCCTTGAGTTCCTTCACCTTGTGCATGTTTAAATGTTCTTACTGTCTCTATGAACCACAGCCCTGAGTGCTGCTGGTGTTTTTCTTCCATTTGATTTCACCAAATGTTTAAATGATCACTGATCACGATCATTCAGGATTTATTTCAGGCCACATTTCTTCCTGGAAGACGATGGGTCCCCACTATCCTTCCAGTTTTTAATAATGTGTTGGACATATGCTGGTGAAGATTCTCAGTCATCCAGGACATGATGAATTCAAAAAGCGTTCAATACAAAAACAACTGGACTTTATTTGTAACGGAAGACGTTTCTCTCCTCATCCGAGGAGCTTCCTCAATTCAAAGAGCAGAGAGTGAGAGGTTCAGGTTATAAGGCTGAGTGAGATAAGACACACACACATGTGGATTGGCAGTTCACACCTAAACACCTAAACAGTAGGGGTTTCTTAAAGTTTTTGTTCCTCTAATTCACAGACGAGGCCCCTCTGTTCCCATCAGGTGTGAAAACCGGCTGGGAATCTGTTTTAAAGTTGCATTATATGTTTTAGAAAGTGGGAATCTGAGGCCTCCTCCTCTGTTAAGAGACGGCTTTTCTCTTTTTACATAAATTGCTTCCTTCACCCCCCTCTCAAACCATCTGTGTTCTCGGTCCAAAATGTGCACATTTTGGTCCTCAAAGAGTGTCCCTTATCTGTGAGGTGGAGGTGAACAGCTGAATTTTGTCCAGAGGAGGTGGCTCTCCTGTGTTGAGTCATGCGTCTGTGAAGAGGCTGTTTAGTTTCTCCAATGTAGAGGTCTGGACAGTCCTCGCTGCACTGGACCACAGACACTACACCACTCTGTTTGTGTATGGGTGTTCTGTCCTTAGGGTGGACCAGCCTCTGTCTGAGAGTCCTGCTGGGTTTGAAATGTACTGGGATGTTGTGTTTGTTGAAGATCCTTCTGAATTTCTCTAATACTCCAGCAACATAAGGGATGACGATGTTTTTACGTCTGCTGTTGTCCTTTTTCTGTTTATTGGTGTGTTTTGTAGATTTCCTCTCTGACTTGACAAAAGCCCAGTTAGGATATCCACATGTTTGAAGAGCTTCTTGAACGTGTTTCAGGAAAAGGAACTTAAACACGTTCAAGGACGTGTTGGGGACGATTCTCAGCTTCAGATCAACAAATCTAGATGTTCACTCACAGCTACTGAAAGGTGGCCAGTAGAAGAACAGGGCGTTATTTAATTTTTTGTCCTAATGTTGTGGTTCAGAGGAGGAGCTGAAGAAATTTCGAGAGGAGTCCCATGTGGAGTCTTGGAAACAGGAGCTGGAGAAGGAGCGCTGCAGACGGATGGAGCTGGAGCAGAAGATGAACGAAGTTGTGAAATCAGGGTGGGTTAAGTAAACGTACTGAACTGGCCCCATTGTTGCTGAGAGTGCACGGACCATTCTGTCCCATTTCCTGGACTGACACCTTTCTTACAGGCTTGAAGACTCCCCATCTCGGACACCTAAAGCTCCGCCCCCTCCTCCATCTGCAGCCACTAGTACAGGTAAGCAACTCGTGCTCATACTGGAGTTAGGATTTAGATGAGCTCGGATAAATAAAATACTTATCCTGTCTTGTATCTTTATACCACAGACAAACGAAAAGAAACCTTGTCTAACAGTTTACTGAATCAGCTCTACGACCGTTTGGGAATTTATATAGAAGATTTTCGCTTCCAACCCGAGGAAACGACGGTGGAGACCGAGGAGCCACTGAGTGCCAGGAGGTGAGCAGAAAACATCTGGACTTGGTTCATTAAGGCGTGTGTGATGGAAAGGGTCCTCCTACCTGTCATTTGCTCACAATGGATACATTTGTTGCATTTAAAGAAACAAAGTGTATGAAGTATGGAGTTTTTGAGAACGGAAAGATTCACACAATCAGAGACTCGAATAAAAAAAATCAGCAAGCTTAATAATAATAAAAATAATGCATTTTATTTAAAAGGGCCATTCAGGACACTGTACAGCATAAAAACCATTAAACAGCAGAAACAAATTGGGTAACGAGTTAAAAGATGCAATATAGTCCAACTTTAAAACAGAAAGCCCTCCTGAGTGAATAAAGAGGAGAGTGAAGTGAGAGCAGAAAAGATTTTCTAAGAGCAGTTTTGGTACCAGTGAACAGAACCCAACCCCCCCCCCCCCCCCCCCTTCCACAACACACACCTCCAATTTTTTTTACTTTTTTTTATAAACTCATTGGTGAGCTAACCGGTATGGGTACTGAAGTCACCCATGGGTCGCAAGTTGAATAGCCCTGATCTAGGAGGAAGAGGTAAATGATGATGATGAGGGGCCCAAGGACACAACCTTGGGGCACACCAGTGCAGTGGTGTACAATACCGTATAGGCAACTAAAAGCCTCTAATTTTGTTACATTAAATGGTGCCTGTGTAAGTAAACCTTCATATTTATACCACCTTTTTAAAATCAAAGTGCTTTTCATCAAGTAAAGTACATCAAGAAAACTGTTTACAGTTGACTAATCTTAAAATAATCAAAGCCAAAATGCAACAATGCAATGGTATTAAACATAAAAACTGGACTTAAAACCTGAAATGTTTAACACAAAAGATGAATGAAGGATGAAGATGAATGGTGTCAAATAATCACTAGTGCTCAGCTTCCTGATTTTTCGAGGAAAGCTGGTCCAGAGTCTGGACCTTGGACTGAGAACACCTACTGCCTTTATTGATCACTTTGTACTCCAAGTGGAGGAGTTTAGATTGAATTCTGAATTTTGCTGGAAGCTGTCGAGATAAATTGGTCTCAGAAGTCACGCAAGTGGACCACAAGATTCACACATGTAAACAGTTTTTCAAATTTACATGTTTCTAAATGTACAAGTACAGCTGCATGTAAAAAATTAGAATATGATGAAAAAGTGCAATTTCTTTTATCAATCACTTCAGAAGGTGAAACATATTATATAGATTCTTTACACACAGAGTGAAACATTTCAAGCGTTTATTTCTTGTAATTTTGATGATTATGGCTTTCAAATAATGAAAAACTAAAATTCAGGGTCTCAGAAAATGAGAATCTTCCAGAGCCAGATTCTGGTACGTTTTGTCAGTGTGGGTCAGCGCCGAGTCCTGCGGGAAAATGACACCAGTGTCTCCATAAATCTCGTCGGCAGAAGGAAGCACGAAGAGCTCTAAACCCAGCCGGTGGAAGCAGATGGTCCTCTAGTCCTGATCCTGGTTCTGCTAAAGGTTTCTTCCTCATGAGGGAGTTTTTCTTTCCACTGTCGCCTTCATGCTTGTTCAACATGAGAGTTCAGTGATGGAGTTAAACTCAAAGCTGCTCCTCAGATAAATAAT